AAACAAGTTTTTTAGCTACACAGACCTCTTCTTCAGGTCTAGGAAAGATACTTTGAGCATCACAGCTAAATAAAAGTTGGAACAGATTGTTTAGCATAGGCAGTTAGCAAATGTTCTAGGGGACCATTCAAGACAGAGTATTTCATTAACAACACTGCAATCAGAGAAAAAAGGGCAGATATAGTGGGTTACAGATTGCTGTAATAAATCCAATGTCTCTGTTTAGTCTCTGTGAGTTTTAATGTCCCCCAGAGTTATGAATTTAAGCTCCCAGATTAATCTTTTAAAAGTGTTATGCAGGTTTCCTTAGAGAACGAGGACTTTATTGGTCAGATAGAGAGTGATTGTTTAATGAAAAATGTTCCCCAACCGGTGATAGGTTGTTTTTGTTTTTTATCCTTTTCCCGTTGAGTACATTTGAGATAAAAGCTGTTATGCTCCCAATACCTTTCACAGACTCAAAGAAGAGCTTTGTGTAACCTGAAAGCATGTCTCTCTCTCAAACAGAAGTGGGTTCAATAAAAGATATTCTGGGTTGAACCTCTCTAGTCCAGCACTCTTTGGTCTGGCAATATCCGTGGTCTGGCATGATGTTAGTTAGCTGGATGGCCACTTATCATGGGCTTGGCCAAGTTTCCCATGGTCCCATAAAGGTTGTTTACAGACACCAGTCCTGGGCTCTCAGTGTTCTGTGCTGTTATTTAGCTCTAATTTACCCCTCTTTTTTTCCCTAAGAGTCCAATAATCAGTGGAAGTTTTGGTAATGCTGCTAGACAATATTGACCTCCCTGGTTCGGCAAATTCTCTGGTTCAGCACTGGTCAGATCTTGAAGCTTCTGGACTAGAGAGGTTCAACCTGTATCTCTAATGTCCGGGGAGCAATAAAGCTACAACAACATTTCATACCGATAGCCCACACATAGATTGTGCTGCTATGGTTAGTTTCAGCAGACACAGCAAAGTTGTGACTTGAACAAGTTTGTGTCATGGAGTAGTTTCAGGGTTCACAAATTGTATTCTGTCCAGCATGAAGCTCTGTATGTATTCTATCAGAGAAATTAGTCCTTTAGATACAAGGATTTCCAGGATAAGAAACACAGAGAGCTGAACTGGTAAGTTCCTCCTAAGGGTAGTCAGAAATTTGCTTGTTCTAATGCAAAACTATGGTAAAAGACTCAGCAATAACAAGGACAATGTAGCGTGAAGTTCTATTAAATGAAGCATTTTCCGGATATAAATTGCAGTGAAACATTTGCTAATGATGCCATTCTGGGTCACCAATCTGCATTAATAAATTCAAGCAGGAACTTGCATCAGGAGATATAATCAAAGCTTCCTGTTTGTAATTAAGTTGCCGATATATTCTTAGAATATATGACTAGGAAACATAAGGGGAAAACGTTAAGCAAATCCATACCAAAAAGAGAATTTTATTGAAATAACTGAAGTTGGGGTGATAATGGTGTTATGCTGAGGGACTTGGTTTTGGTAGTTCTGGATAACTTTTTTTAATCAAAGTCTAATCACAAAATAATTCAGCTGTGCTATACTGACAGTACCCAGAATGATTGAGACAGAAAGATTTTCAGATACTCTCTCATTTTAAGAAATAGTAGGAATTTATACTATACTTGAACCTCTTTAATCTGGCAACCCTGGGAAACACGGTATACTAGATTAAAGAATTTGTCAGGTCAGGGAGGGTGCTGCGGGGCCTGGGCATGAGTGTCATGTGAGTGGGGCGCTCCGCTCTTGGGGGCACAAGTGGCTCCACGCTCCTCACCGCGCCCAGGCAACATCCGCCACTGCTATGGGAGCAGTGGGAAAAAGTCTCAAGAGCATAGACGTGCGCACAGGGTGTGCTGGGTGTGCCCGGGCACACCCTAATGTCTCGGACTGGCTAGCAGCTACTGGAGGAGGAGGGGGATTTGACACGGGGTACCACAGCCCGTCACTTTCTCCGTGGCCATCTACGGGGCACTTTGGGGCAGAGGGCGCACGTGTGTGGTGGAAGCATGAGGGGTACATGAGGGGAACAGGGGCAGAGGGTGGTGAGGGGATGGGCATCAGGGAAAAAGAAGGCAAAGGGAGAAGAGTCAGTGAGGGAAGGGGGAGCACCAGGAGGATGCAGGGCTAAGGGAAGTTGCAGGTGCCAGGGGATTCTGGGGGTGAAGCAGAAAGGCAGACACCTGCAGGGGAAGGACCAGCACCAGAGGAGAGAGGCAGGGCAGGTGTGTAGAGGGAGGTGTTAGGAGAGGGGATGAGGAGGGGTAGCTCACATGATAAGAGTGGGGCTACTGGAGGAGTGGGCACAGGGGGGAGAGAAGAGCTGGTGGAGGGGGGCAGGAGTCAGGAGAGCAGAGGAGGGTGAGGGGCTGGGGGGCAGCAGGCATGAGGGGAGCTGATGGAGCAAGGGGAGATTTGGCAGCAGAAGGAAAAGATAGCAGTTTATAAGATATTTATTAATAACAGTGGCACATTCAAACAAGTCACATGAATTCAGTACTGGCGCGCAACACAAAATTCATTCTGCTCACAGGAGGAAACTCTTACAGGGAACACTTCTCCCAGCCTCTCTGCCCCTGAGTTAATGTCACACACATTGAGTTAATGCAACTGCAGGATAGTTGCATAAGGGGGGCTTGGTGGGGGCCAAACTAATTCCTATTGGTAGGAGGATGGTGGGAAAAGTCCTTAGAGGGGTGTCACATGACACCTTTTATTTCTGGTCATGTGTCCATCTTGCCCCAAGTGTGTTACCTCTAGAGGTGTGGCCAATGGGAGTTGGGGTGTGGCCAATGGGGGTCAGGGACGTGGTTAACAGGGGTCAAAATACATTTTTAAAAAATTCTTCGGGTGCACACCCTAATGAAATGTGCTGCACATGCCTATGCTCAGGAGAAGCACATCACTGCACTGCAATTTCTCCAGCAGTGAGGAAGGGGAGCAGACGTATACAGAGCCACTTCTTCCTCTGCCTGCCAGAGGAGGGAAGGTTCCTGGATTAGGAACATTCAGAGAATGGAGGTTTGAGTGCATCTGTAAATCTAGTTACACAGTCTAATATTTAGAATTCAGCCTCAGAACATCTCTGTGTGGTACAGAAGTATAATTGTTTCCATTGTAAAGACAGGAAAAGCAAGTGTGATGTGGTGCCACTCCACACTGGCATGTAAAGGGTTAATGGAGCCCTAGGGAGGCTGGGCAAAAAGAAGCCAATAGGAAAGGGCTACAAGAGATGCTAATCAGAGCCTGACAGGTGCCTATAAGAATAGCTGTGGAGCAGGCAGGTTCAGTTGCTCCCTAGACCTTGAGGAGGGAGACATGGCTTGAAGGATAAGGAAAGCTAGCACCTTGGACGGAGTAGTTCTGGGCAGGATCGGGGACATGAGAGCCAGCTAGCTCCTGGCTGACTGCTGGCATGCTGAGACCCTGAGAAAATGGAAGATTATGCTGGGGTTGTGAGGAAGTGGCCCAGGGAAGTAGACTAAGAGCCTGGAGGGAACATGGCTGCCATCTACAGAGTCCCTGGGCTCAGGAAGTGGCTGGACCCTCAAATTGCAGTACATTCCCCCAGAGTGTGGTATAGCCATAGGTCTGCATCTTGAAGAGGATGTCATGGTCCAGAGTTAATCCCCATGACAGCAGGAGGCAGTTGTGAGTTGCACCCTGTCACAACGAGGCACAAAGATTGTAAGTGACTTGACTAAGGTCACACAGGAATGCTAAGGCAGATCCATCCTTCTGTTCTTTACAGCATATACAGCGGTCTTGGAGTAAATATTTCTAATGGCTGGGCAGGATTTCCCACATATAGAATCTCCTCCTTCATAAATTTTATCTTTTACATGAGACATAAAACCAAGATACAGTCCATTTGTTAACAGAGATAGCAACTTTTTGCAAGGATTCACCTAGATGTCAATGTCATTCCAACTATCTGGAATTTCCCTGTCACTTCAGCTGACACAATGATTTCTTGTTTTTTATCATTAAACTGCTCTGTGGCATTGATGTTACCTTTATTGTGGCTGCTGCATTCCCTTTCAATAGGTAGCTTTATGCTGATAAATGGTAATGTGGTCTCTGGTGTACATGTGAAATATTGAATTGATGAAGCATGTAGTTTCTTGTGAAAGAAACAATCTCTCTCATATTGATTATTGTTGTGATAATAACGACTAAGTTGGGAAATAGTCTACTTTAAGGCTGGATAAGGCTTGTGTTTATTGGTTTAACAACTGATTTGATGTACTTTATGGATTTCTGCTAAAACTTTTGTCTGTTTTCTGCTGTTGTTTGTGTTGTGTACCCTCTTGTCAATAACTAATAAAAATGTATTTGACTAATTATTATTACTTGTACATCTAGAATGACTTTCATCCAAGTATCTCAAAGAGCTTTTCGAAGGTGGATACCTATCATCTCCTTTTTACATGGGTAGTAACTGAAGCACAGAAAGGTTGAGTGACTCATACAAAGTCAAACAGGAGTAGAACTGAAAATGTACCCCAGGTCTCTTGAGACCCAGTCCTCTGCTATGTCAGTCCACACTGCTTGTCTTCTGCTCGGTCAGTCCATACTGCTTCCCTATGAGCTTTGGTCTCAAGACATGACACTAACCATAGGAAAGATCCAAGTTTTTTGACTGCCAGAGATGTGTGGTTGAACACACGTGCTACAGGATGTGTGACAGGATTCACATTTTCTCACACATTTTTAATACCAGATATGAACAATAGAGAAGTGAATTTTCAAAGGCATAAAAGGTGTATCCTATGTGATCCTATCCTCACGACTTCTACAGCAATTTCTCTTTATTTGTGCCTGTATCCGAAATATGAAAGTAAATGTTATTGATAGGCACTGCATCAATCTAATTATGGATTTGTCAATTTATATTAAAGGTGCTGACATGACTGTGACTTGACATTGATTTTAGCTTTTTACCTATACATTTCCTATTTGAGGTAACCCATAATTTTTCTTCATGCTTTCAGTTGTCCCCAAGGAAAAACATGAACTCATTATTACCTTAGTGAAGGCTCGGTAGCATAAGCCACACAGTTCCACCAGGTAGGCCAGCGTGAAGACAGCATTCTGAATGACAAAGCTTAGTAATTTTGAAAATGGCTCAAGAAGACTCTGCAATGAAATATGATTTTAGGGAAATCAATAAATGAGCCATTCAACAAAATAAATATCATTCCAATTCTGTAAAGCTTTAATGGGACAGAATCTTTATTTTTAACTTGGGGGCTGTGTTGCTGTGGTTTAGCCCATTTCAGACAAACAGTTGTTCTGGCCTATGTCTTCATGTTTATAAAACAAATGGAAAGTGAAGAAATAGCAGAGTCTCAGTGTTTTCTTGATATCAGAACTGGTACTGCTTACAAAGGCTATTCTCCCACTGATCTTGCACCAGTGAGAGAGCTGCAGGATCAGGTTCTGGGAAAGTTTATAATTTCAATTGTTGTTTTAGAAAAGCATCAACTCTTTAGGACCATATACATTCACACCCACACATTCATGTATCCAAGTCTGAAGCATCTGTTTTTCCTTACACAATACTAGATTGCATGCTCACATATAATACTTTTCTAACTTGAGAATAAGGAACAAATGTGTAGCACCGTGAAGACTGGATAACTGTTGGAGCACAATTGGGTATTTCTGGACCTTACCCTGGTGGCACTAGTGGTAGATATCTTCAACAGGCAAATCATTATTCTTAAACTGGAGTCTAAAGAACACTGTGGAAAGAGAAAAGTGTCTTCCTCTGCACACATCAAGTTCTTAGTGGTGACAGATGTAAACACAATAGATGAAGTCAGGAAACAATCATTTTGCTACATTATCTTTAACCAGAGGCTGCCAATAAAATATCACGGGCTGCACTGTCCCCTCCCATAGTAAAACCCACAGGAGAAGGGTTGAGAGGAGGAAATCTCAGTAAATCTTGGCTTGCAGCATTCACTCCAAATCACCCTGTCAAGGGTGCTATAATTATCCTCTGTAAAACAGAAAATCCCCAACTTTTCTAGCCTAACAGAATTTGGTTAGTGTGGAAATATTTTCCTGGGGAATTAACAGGAGCCCAGTGACCCATGCTTCTGTAGCTGGTCTGGCCCTAATATCACTACTCTGCTCCACGGCAGATTAGTGCCTCAGAATCACCACAACAGCTCTAGGGGAGTCCCTGGGAGGGAGTTTTCCCCATTGTACAAGAAGTTCTGCAGGAAAGATAATAAAACTCCCATCTGTTCTATGTAAATCCCTCTGGGATCTTCCTCTCCACAGCCTAGCTCACTGGCTGGTTTCTGTCACAATGTAAATCTCTGCACCAGCAAAGAAGCATTGAGGTCTTGCATCTTGTTTATTTTTTAAAGCAACATAACATAAATAAATAAAATTGATCTTAGAACTCCCTATTGGCCATCTACCACAGTATTCATGATTTGATATGGTAGATGGTATGTAGGGACTAAGATCTATTTCCTTCTTTTATATAGTTCTTATTAAGGAGGAAAAATTGAATGGACTTTTTATTGCCAAGAATGTTAATTATCACTTATTTATTATGCTAATCTAACAGGAGGAAGAGAAAAAATATTCCCCAGACATAGTTTTGGTGGCTATTGAATGGAGGGTATAGCCAAAGGGATGGATCAGGCACTCAGCGCAATCTGATCTTCTGGAAATGTTAGGTCATGTACAATAAAATATTACAAATTATGTTCTGCATCTCCAACTCCCACTCCAACAGTTTTCAAACTATTTGCACATGCCTTGGCCAGTGGTACCAGAGTCCACATGGGCTAATCAGTTAAAATTACCCTTATAAATAAAAAACAGCATTACATACATCATACCTTAAGTGGCAAAACAAAAGGCAGTTTGGTAAAGAAAGTCTGAAACTGGTTACTAATAGTGGTCCAGAGGTTACTAGGAGAATCCATTGGCAAAGCTTCCATAAATGTAGCAATGTTTTCCAAACAACGTAGCATTGCGCCCCCAGCTGGCAAGTTTTTTTTGTTGTTTAATCCCTAGAAAACACAATGTGGAACTTGAAAACAAAATAGCCCTCAGAAAAAGACCATCTAAACAGTATTTTAAAACACATTTACAATAGCCAAATCAAGTGGACAATGCAATTTTCATCTTCTTCCACAAATAATTTGAAGTACATTGCTTTTCTGCAGCATCTACAGCTGACATGGTATGACACTGACCATCCACAGTGATAGTGATAAGAAAAAGATAAAGCAGAAAATATTCCCACAATAGGCAACTGAAAGACATGTCCATTAGAAACCAGCCACCGGCACTTCTCTGGCCTAGCAGACTGTGCGTGACAAATTGTCTTGTTCACATAGCTATCATTTTACTATATTGGAAGGAAGGCCAGACTTGTTCAAGTGTTGAACATACTGAAATTGTTTTAGTCTCTAGTGGCTGGCCTGAAAAGATGTAAGCACTGCTAATGTTCTACCAAAATCTCTGCTTATAGGAGAGCTACTGAAAGGAAAAGAAGCAATCCCATCTTCCGAGAAGTGCTGAAAGATATGTATAGGCAACTAGCACTGTAGAAAGGAGCAGACCCAGCAACATCAATTCTGAGTCCCAGACTAGGGATGTTAAATTTCTATTAATGAACTAATCGAGTAGTTGGTGGAATTTCCATCAACTATTCGATTAGTCAGTAAGCGGGGTGCTCGCTTTCCCACTGTGCCTGTGCCTTTGAAATGTACAAGAGCCACCCACAGCTCTTGCACATTTCAAAGGAAGAGGCACAGTGGGGAACCTGCACGAGCAGGAACCGAAGCGGACCCCCTCATGTGGAGTCCCAACTGCTGTGCCTCTCCCTTTGGATGGTTCTTGTATATTTCAAAGGCAGAGGTACAGCAGTCAGGATCCCGTATGAGCGGGGATTGCTTCGGACCCCGCTCACACCATTTCCCATACTGTCCCTCTGCCTCCCCTATGCCCTGCCCCCAGAGACAGTGCTGGGGGGAACCTGCTTTTAAGACAGCTCCCGCCAGCACCAGCTCCTGCTCCCTCCACTTGGTGCCTCTGATACAGAGGCAGCAACGTGGGGGGAGGGGAGAAGCAACTAGTCGAACAGTGACTTGACTACCCATCCCCCTGCCAGAAGAGGTCTGGGCCAGCCTAGCCCCGACTCCTACTTCTTGGAGCAGCCTCAGAGCAGCTGCACCATACTTCCCCTCCCTTCCTAGGATCAAACCTGCCTGATGAGGAAAAACCGCAGCAGCATCTCTTGGTTCAAAGAAGCTTTTGATATGTCCTATGCAGGTTCTGGGACCCAGTAAACTTGCCCCGGAACCTGCATTGGGCATATCAAAAACATCTTTAAATCAAGAGACATTTTGCTTTCCCCAGAGCAGGCAGAGCTACCACAGCAGCAGCCAGGGCCCCCAGAGGCCACCAGGCAATTTCCCCCTTTTCCCTCCAGCCCATTGGCAGGCCTGGAAATGAGACCTGGAGTGAGTTGGCAGGCCTGGAACTGAGATAGGGACAAGCTAAATTGGGAGGAGAAGCAGGATGAGTAGAGAGACTAGGCTTTAACCTCCAGAGATTCCACAGAAGAGGACTGCGGAGAAGGAATTGCCATTACATACAGAGAAGCAGTGATTTTAAAGGCAGCAACAGAATTAAGAACATAAGAATGGCCATACTGGGTCAGACCAAAGGTCCATCCAGCCCAGAATCCTGTCTGCCGATAGTGGCCAATGCCAGGTGCCCCAGAGGGAGTGAACTGAACAGGTAATGATCAAGCAATCTCTCTCCTGCCATCCATCTCCACCCTCTGACAAACAGAGGCTAGGGACACCATTCCTTACCCATACTGACTAATAGCCATTGATGGACTTAACCTCCATGAATTTATCTATAAGAATTTAACTATAAGAAGAACCATGCTCAGAAATGGGGATAGTGCCGGGGGATGGTATGGAGTACAGCACCAAGGAGAAGGGAGGCCCCAATAGCTGGCAGAAGTGACAGCAAAACTCTGACTGAATATGGAGGAGGAAATTGTGGTTTGATTGTGCTTCCATGTAAGTCGATGCAAAAATTTGTATTGCCTTTAATGGTGTAGGATCGAGCTCTTAGTGTGCGGAATACAGAAAAATATACTTGGTAGAACCCAATACAATCAGCCTTATTGTAAACATACCTCTAGTAGTTGGCTCAGTGCAGCTATGGAGCTCAGCTCACTGAAGTCCATAAGAGATGTAGCCAGGGTCCGTAAAAAACTTCCATCTGAAAATCAAAGCAACATTTTTTTAGTAAGCGTGGGTGTGGAGATGACAGATGGTGGCAGAAAAGCACTGAGGCATTGCACATTACCTTTGATATTGCTCTGGAAGAGCTGTGGAAATATACCATTGGGAGCCAGCTGATGGAAAATGCAACGGAGGAATTGCTTAGCCACACCGGCAGCATTACCAGGGATCATCATGCTGAAATGAAAGAAAAAAAAAAGAGGGAGAAATTTCCTAATGGATGAAAAATATTTCCCAAATGGAGAAAGTAAAGATGACCATATTCTTCCTGGTAACAGATAAAGACAAATTAAGTTATGAATACAACAAAAGGGGCCAGTATTATTATCCTCATTTTACAGATAGGGAAACTGAGGCATGAGGTAGTGACTTGTTAAGATCACCCAACAGACTAGTGGCAGAGTTGAAACTAGAACCCGGGCCTTCTGAGTCCTCTACAAAAAAGTCCTGATCCAGCAAAGCATGTGAGCATAGGCTTAACTTTCATGACTCCAGCAGGACTACTCACATAGTTTAAGTTTCGCAAATGCTGAAGTGCCATAGCTTGATTCTGGCTTAAACAGTTTACTTTTTCCTGAGTCTCTATATAGTGCCAAGACTGTTTTTGCCATTGCGTCTTCAAATCTGAAGCCAATCCAGCTATCACTGAAGTCAATTGCAAAATTCTCTGATTCCAGGGTGCAGAATCAGCTTCCTGGAGAACTTCTTATACATGGCTGCTGGCTTCCAGGCAGCTAATTAATTTACTCCTCTCTAGCATCTTTCAGCCAAAGATTTTAAAGCACTTTCCAATCATTAATGAATTAAGCCACACAACATTTTTATAATTTCCAAAAATAAATGCAGCCCATCCATGTGATGTCCCTAGAGAAGGACAGCAGTCTATTTGCATGATGGGATATCAGTGGTAGGTGTTCTCCAGAGTTATGGATGACTGACTTAGTTAAAGCACACAGGTGGAACCCCTTCCCGTGGCTACAAAATTTATTCACCAGCAAAATTGGAAAACTACCCATATAATGAGCCATGGAAATGAGCTACAAGAGTAAAATTTAGGATTAATAAAGTCAATGAGAGTTTTGTCATTGACTTTAAGGAAGTCTGAATTTCACCCCGATCCAGGTTTGAATTTTTCCAAATTTGGGGAAGGTTTGGAACTGGACTTTTTGGTTCAGGCCTGTCACTATAAAACACAAGAAATTGTACCCATATTAAACAGGACATGATTTGACCCTTTGTACATCTAAAAATTTTTTTGGGGGGGGTATTACTGTACCTTTCTGCTTGATTAGAAAAACAGGTACTTGATGCCAACCTAGAATAAAAAGCAGAAATCAGCAAGTCAAACAAAAGCACTGTTCATTATATTTTTAATCAAGCCAATAAACTTACCAGTACAATTTGGTACATAGAACTTTTGGGTAATATGCCTTAAAGGTCACAGGAGACCCTGTGATCAGATGTGCAAGGGATTCCTAAATACATTTTTGTAAAGGGTAAAAGTCAAAGCCAGACTTGTAATATTGTCATAAATATTTGCCAGCTCAGAAAATTTCTACTTGTCCTCCCTTATCATCATAATGATAATAAAAGCATCTTGTATTCATACATCAAGAACAATTACTCACCCTGGGCAATTTGGAGAACAGAAATTTGCAGGGATGGTGAAGAACCTATATGCTGACAGAAATCAATAGGAATTAGGCCTGTAGGTGCTTTTGAAAATCCCAGTAGGCATTTATCTGCCTATTTAAATTCCCAAATATCTTTGACAATATGGCCTTAAGTCACTTAAATGCTTTGAAAATTTTACCCTAGAACATGGGTCTCCTGACTCCAAGTGCTCTGTTCTAAACATCAGATAACACTATTGTTGCTAAGGAGTAAAATGCATAAATATCTTGTGCTCTGTTCTAAACATCAGATAACACTATTGCTGCTAGAGAGTAAAATGGATAAATATCTGTGTTAACAGACTGGTTATAATGGGGCAGTGTAACATCTGATGCACAAAAATAGCTTCAGAAAAAGAGAGAAAGCTTAATATAAATGTTAGAGCAAGTATACTGAAGCCACCTGAATGTATTCAAGCTCATATTTACTTTTAGGGGAAGAGTGTGCTTTTTTCTACATGGAGTGTAAGAACTACAGAACGATTACCCTAACGAGCCGTCTAGGCAAGGTGCTGATGATGATCCTGATGGAGAGACTGAAATTGCAGATAGAAGACCATCTAGCAGATGAGCAAGCAGGATTCAGGAAAGATAGAAGTACCATACAGCAGATATTGGCACTAAGATTGATGGCGGAGAAAGCTCGGCAAAGAACAAGAACATCTACAATTGCTTCACTGATTTTCAGAAGGCATTTGACAATATAGATCAGAAAGTGACTTGCGTCGTCTTGGAGTCTTACAGAGTGGATAGCAGACTGACATGGTTGTTGAAGGATATCAACAATAATGCGTAGGCAGCAGTGAGAACATGCAGAGAGTTGGGAAGTTGGTTTAGAACAAGTAGAGGTACAAGACAAGAAGATCCGATATCATTGAATATTTTCATCACACACCTAGAGAGAGTGATGGACAAGATCAAGGAAAAGATAGAAGGAATACTGGTGACCGTGATGAGAATTAACAACTTGAGGTTCGCGGATGATATAGTTATCATCGAGGAAGATGAAGAGAAGTTAGCGAGAATGGTGCAAGTGCTAAATGAGGAAGGGAAGAGGTATGGACTGATTATGAATATCGATAAAACAAAGACAATGGTATTTGGAGATAAGGAAATAGGAAGGAAGATCAGTGTAGATGGGATCGAACTAAAAAACAGAGACGTTCACGTATTTGGGGAGCAACATGACATATGATCTAGATCTGTAGGAAGGAAATAACAACTAGAATAGCGAAAGCAAGAGTGAGTTTGAAGGCAATGGATAAGATCTGGAAAAGTAAAGCGATTAGCTTAGGAACGAAGATTCAAAGAGAAGGATACTTTAAAGCGATTAGCTTAGGAACGAAGCTGGGTGTCTTGAAAATGTGTGTATGTAACAGCATGTTGTACGGATGTGAGACGGGTGATAATGAAAGCTTCAAAGAGAAGGATATTTTGTCCATATTAGCAAATGCAAAATTTTTAACAAACAAATGTAACCCATAAAATCTTCTATGGGGAGACTTTACATTCATTATAAAAGTATAACCATTGGGCAGTGGTTTTTTGGGTGATATTCACCGAACATATTGTGATATGCTGTTGGAATTTTTTCACTTCAGCAGACACATCTACCCAAATATTGTAAATGAATTCCAAAACATCTCAGCTTGGGATTGATTCTGATTTACATTAAAACTCCTTTAAATTACTCTCACAAAGCACTATACTTGTTAATTCTCTACAGATACTCTCTTGATGATTTGTTTAACATTGAGTATTTTTATTATTTTTTGCTATCATTAACTTTTAAGTACATAAGAAGCAGAACAGCTGTCAAGCAATCAGTAGGACCATTGGACATTTGAATTTTTGAGTGGTAAAGGAGCTCTGAGGGAACACAAGGTCAATGTGCAGAAGTTAATAAATTCTTTGCCTCATCACTGGAAAAGACCCCACAGAGAATGGATAGATGATATAGCAGATTGGTGCAGAGCTAGTCTACAGAAACTAAGCCACTCTGCACTGGACAGGGAAAGATGGAAGGAAATAGTGAGGGAGACATTGGACACCAACGGGCACTGAGTCCATGGTTGTTGTTGTTGATGATGATGATGAATTCCTTTGCAGGTCTATAACTGTACCCAGCTTAGTAAAAAAGGTGGTGACCTGGACTGTATGCTAGGAAATGATAAAGTAAGTGAATCATATTGGAATACCCAACGTTGTATACCATCTACTTCACTTATGGACTCAGCTGTGTCTCACTGTGGATGCAGTATTTCCACTTCAGTCAGGAAAATGTACTACATCCCCCCCATGGTTTGATAACTAATCTTCGGGAGCTTAATTGTTCATGGCTTCTTACTGGCCCTGTTAGTGCAGTATTTATGAGTAACAAGTAGGATGAATGGCATCAGTCTAGATTGGAAACTCTACCTCCTCCGGAGTTCATTAACACTGACAGTGGGGAACTGCAGCCTCAGCGTTAATGGAAATGGAGGACTTGATTCTCCACTATCTTCAAGTGGAGTTTAGACATAGTGGAGAGAGAAGGCTGCAGGGAACCAGTTGCAGTTTCAGAATCCTTGACCACCAATCCCCTGCATAAATTACAACTGTAGGGGTATGTCTACACTACCACCCTTGTTCGAACTAGGGTGTAGGCAACCGAAGTTGCAAATGAAGCCAGGGATTTGAATTTCCCGGGCTTCATTTGCATCTTGCCGGGCGCCACCATTTTTAAAGCCCCGCTAGTTCGGACTCAGTGCCCGCGGCTACACGCGGCACGGACTAGGTAGTTCGGATTAGGCTTCCTATTCCGAACTACCGGTACACGAGGTGTACCGGTAGTTCAGTATAGGAAGCCTAATCCGAACTACCTAGTCCGTGCCGCGTG